AAAAAATGAACCCTCTGGCTGTAGCTGCTTTCTCTTGTCACAAACAAACATATCAAAAAAAGCGTTAGTATTTCAGATCATTAAATCCAGCCTAACTGCTACTTTCCCACTGAGATTCCCTTTCACTCAAAGATTGTCTCTGCTAACTGCTCCTGATGCAAACAGAGCATCGGAGGACACAGCTGTTGAGAGCTGTGATATTCCACTACATGACCTCATTTAATGCGCCGCATAATAATGGTAATAATCTACAGTATGCAACAACCGCCACTTATAAATGGTCCTCCAGCTGGCTCAGCACTACAGAGAGATGCTGTTGTAGCGCGTCGGTTTTCCAAATGTGTCATTGACTATAAGCCACAGTCGTCCTCGCTGCAGCCCACTAATCCCACAGCATCTCTGATGGTTTCCCTGGTGACTGTGTGTAGCCAGCTCTTTGTGGGTGAAGTGATTTGCATCTTTGGCTCTTGACAAACAGCAACTACTGCTTTTTTTTATGAGGTTTTTGAGAATCACTGTCATTGCACTCCAGTGACTGGCACTGAGATCAGTCAGCTGGTTGCCAGACGGGCAGTTGGTGCCAGGACGTGCCAGGCTTCCCCAAGCTGGCCAGAGCAGAGCAGAACAGAAGACTATTCCCCATCCCTTCTGTTGCATGTTTTCATGGGTTTTACGTAACATTTGATCAGAATTAATTTCTGATCATTGGTGTCATTGCTGGTGTTGGTGAACTTTCTATTTTTATGTCTAGACAAAAGCTGAAAAATTAATGATCTCCAGCATTCACTGATTAAACTGCGACTATGAAGGGCATTCAAATTGGATGTCTTGTCAAATATCACATTTTATCATCCTCTACAGACTCTGCATGACACTCCTTTTTGATGTGTTTCCTTGGTCTAAAAGGGACCTTTAGTGCTTTACCTTATTTTCTGTCACACATATATGCATATAGTGCAGTACAAAGGTTTTCAGCCACCCCTAATTTCTTTATATTTTGTTATATAAAATGGTAAAAGTGGCAGTGATTTATCAAAACATGTGCAAACATAGATGGATATGCAGTCTAACGAGCCAATATTCAGTATGACCCCCTTTAGTCTTCGACACAACCTGAACTGTCAGGTGTTCTTGTCATATTTTGAATTCATCTTCAGGAACAGCTCCTCTGGGTTCTTGAAGGACATTCTTTGGAAGTCTTTTCTACATGATCCCACACTACTTCAAAAATGTTCAGTCCAGGCTCTGGGGAAGCCAGGCAATGCCTAATAGTTTTCCATTGTGTGTTTTTCTATCCAGGTATGTTTTTATTGCGTTGGCAGTGCATTTGGGATCATAATTCCATCAGTTTTTCCAAGATCCCCAACACCCCTGACTGAAATACAGCCTCACAACATGACTGAGCCTCCACCGTGTTGCACTCACTGCTGACTCTGTCCTGATCTCCTCTGTCTATAATGACATCAATCCGAATCTGACATTTCAAAAAGCGCGTTCACACTGATTTTTTCAGTCCAGTTCTTTGGCATACCTCAGCCTTTTCTCCCCGTTTCTCTTCTTTCCTGGTAGCCACCCTTCCGCTGAGACCATTTCTGACAGTAGAAGGATAAATTGAAGGGCTAGATGCATCTTTCAGGTCCTGCATCAGGTTTTTTTCTGAAGGGCACGACTTTCACGACTGTTCATCTGCTGTAGATAAAAACTTTAAAAGTGCTTCAGAAAGCCTGGACAACTATAGCTCCAGGGCGTTTTAAAAAATAGAACAAAGCCAGCGTTGTTGTAAGCTAAATATAAAGAACTGGTAGGTGTCTCACAGTGTTTGCACAGTACATTCTATCAACACGTGTAGACACTCAGCCATCAGAGTGCTGTAACCACTTTGATCTAGACAGTTTTTTCTACTCTTAGATCAGTATGATGTCAGTAAGGCTAAATATCATGGCCATCTCATGCACACAGCTCTGGATGTTAGCACACAAGCCCCACCCAAGTGATCCTGAAACATTCAGCTTGCAAAGTGCAGCCATTCAGAAGAAAGCTGCTTTACCTACAGGTGGTTACAGAAAGTGGATGGGACAACTGTAAGAGTCTGAAAATATGAGGCATCTTTGACAAAAGTTATGTTATATTAAAAAAAGAAAGAAAATTAAATAAATTATGTATGTTATAATACATCGGACCAGCTTTTTTTTTTTTTTTTTTTAATTTATTTTTTTAAATCACAGTACCCTAATGGCAGTTAATGCATAAAATTGCATTTTAATATGCTCTGTTAAAGTAACAGAAATGGTGAGATCTTGTTAAATACAGAAGTGTCATACTCATCGTTTTCTTCATCTTTTACACTGCTTCTATACCCCCAATTAAACAAATGACAAAATATTTTATGCAATTATTTATCTTCAGATTTTAAGACCTTCTTTATTATTTTGTTTACCCCATATATACTTCTAAGTAACAAGTACAAGCTGAGAAAGTAAGTTTTACAAAGTGCGAATTACAGCAGCTGGCTTACAACTCCCCATATCACTAATTTTCCAAAACATATTATGGTTATTTTTTGCCCTGCAGCAGTAAAATCTTATTGCATGTCTACTTAATTTACAACACAATTCCCTTCAGAAAATGGAGCGGCGCTCTTCCCAACATACTGATGAAGTCCGCTAATTGTCTTTCATTCCAGAACAAATTACATGTTTACTTTGTTCACAATTAACTTGCAGCACAGAGGCCATTCTGTCATCTGGTTCCCTGCTCTTCAAACTGCTGTTTACTTAACAAATCCATGTCACTGGGTAGTGCTACAGTATATCACAACAGACAGAACACTAAACACACAAGAACTGTTGTTATCAGCCTGTGCAGCCGCGCCACGTAGAGCGAACGCTCTTGTTTGCTTTTTACCCCCGCCGTCTTGATGAATGATCTCAAGATGACGGATCAGTGGGTGGTTGTTTTGCATGCATGAGAATGAAAGCATTTTAACAAGAGGAGAAAAACAAGAACTTCAGTTTCACGATTCACATTTTACTTCATCCCCGTAAAATACGATTGAAACCAGTCCCTAACAGTGATTCGCTTAATTAAAATTCAGTTTAACGAGCTTATCAAACCTTAGACTTAATGAAATGCTCATGATGTTTTCTGGCCCTGTGAACATTTAAATGTGTGTGTGTGTGTGTGTGGGGGGGGGGTTATGCAGTCAAAAACCCACTGTGCCTCTGACTTCTGCTGTTCAGCTCTAACTGTAATAAGGCAGTGCGATAAGCTCTGACATTTTCATTATGCTGCAGTCATTTGTTGATTGATGCAGCTCAGCAATGGCTTAAAGTTACACTCTCTGATTTTCTTGTTGTTGCTCCAGGCTTACTGTGGGCTTTGGGTTTGAGTTTCAAGGCACTTACAGTGACCTGACAGCACAGTTTGGCACCACTGCATTATATAAAACTATCAGGTATGTTACTTTTCACCGTCGGCCAAGATATGAAATATGTTGAGCGAAAAGCTGTTTAGAGATTTGGATGTCAAGTCAGGTGTCAAATTCATTTGAAAAACACAAGGTGACTATCTGCTGTTTTTATTTCCTTGCGTCTGATGGAGCTTACAGGACTCAGAATCAGTGCTCTTGCTACTATCAAGCCTTTCAAGCACCACAGATAATAATACGCTTAAAGTTATAAGTAACCACGTCAAGCTAATCTTCAAAGTAAGCCAACAAATCGCAATGGCACTTCTTTTAAATGAACTACTTAGGGCCCAAGTGACAGAATTTCTAAGACCACTCCTGCTACCGAAATTTAGTGATTTCAAAATCCGATATTTCAATATTTTCCAATATCGATATCTTTTTCTTTCAAATGCAAAAAACATAAACATTGTTGGCAACAGCTGGAAGAAAAACTCCATAACCTTTTGTTTTGTAAAGTTATTTGTTTACTCTTACACTCTCTGCCTGACTTTGCTCACATTAGCTGGCCGTGTGTTACCAAAACGGAAGTTGCAGTGCCCTCAGGTGGGCAAACTATGCAATGTCAACAGTAGAAACATGTATGAATGGTGTCTCTTCTTTACTTTTTAAATTTTCATTTATTTTCATTTCAACTTTCATTATCATCAATCATCAATAAATACCAATAGCGGTCCTGTCTGACTGTCTGTTACACAGCAGAAAATGTCAGCAAATATATACCAGATGTTTGATACTGATTGATATTAAATAAACTGGCAAGTGTGCCTGTGTTTAACGCAAATTTTGAAAAAGAGATATAGATGGTGTTGTATACAAGTTTTTGCATTCTTGAAAAAAATGACAGTTTTATTGAAGACGTCCTCTAAGCTTTCATTTTGAGCCAAATTAAACCAGGAATTCTTCATCCTTTATACCCCTAACCCACAGAAAAATTACTCAGTACGTAAACATGAATTGTTGAATTATTAGGCTGAATGTCAGTCTTTGTAATAGTATTGAGAATTTTTTTTTTTTTTTTAAAGGTAGCTCTTTTTAAAGAGTTATCCAAGAAACCAACATCCACAGACACATGATGGATGGTGGGGTATAACCAGACAACCTATTTTTAATATATTTATTTATTTATCCCCTTTATGTATATCTAAAAGTGAATTACATTCCTGTCTCATTGTGGTTTAGATGTTGAGATTATTCGTATGGGTATTCCTAACAATGCCCATGTGCCCTTTCAAGAAAAGCTACATAATGATTGTCTTTGGTGCTTCAAGCTCTTATGGGTCATTAGCCCTGTGGAATAAGAAATGGAGTTAGATGGATAAAGCCATTGCAAAAGTCACGCCTGAGTTCAGCTTATTGTTCCCACATTTTATCTTTTTGTATTGTTTTGTTTTAAATTACAAAAACATATTATGCACAAATTCTACTAAAGGTCCAGTACAGAAGACAGATGGGAAAGGTCATGACAAAGGAGCCCCACACAAGAAAAACAATCTAAATTATTGTTGGTGTTCACAGAGCAGCAGTGACTCACCTCTCTGATGGCTGTGCAGAACTCACTCTGAAGGACTTTCTTCAGAGATTGGAGCTTGTGACCGGGAACATCGCCTGACTCCTGCAGCTTCTCCAGCAGCTCAATAGCCCTGGCAACATCTGGGAAGCGAGAGAGAGAGAGAGAATGGGTGTGAGTAAATATGTATATGTGTGTGGGTACTCATGCCAAGGGGACAGAGGAAGAGGAAAAAAAGAAGCCCCGTTCAATTACATTAACAGCACTGCTGTGACAAAGGCGCTAGAGCAAATCAATGGGCGGGATAATGGAAATAGACTCAGTCAAGGCCAGCGGTTGCAAGGAAGATAGAACAGCAATCCCATCCATGGATCGTTTGCATTGGCTTATCTCTGAGCATGAGAATAAAGGAGCGGGGTGACAAGTCAAGGACTCATTTGTTGAAAGGTAACACTTCCTGGAAAGAGTAGGCATTACAAAGCGTTTACACTAAACCATAAGCCTTAAGGTAGAGGCCGTGACTCTGGGGTCTTCTGAGCTCTTTTCTCTTAATTAGCTTCTGCTGAACAAGTTCCACAGCCTGGATGATTAATTTTTTACCCTCTGAAACTGGCAGGCCAAATAGACTCACAAAGGTAGAAAGGGTGATTTGGTACTCAATCACTGGACTTAGATTGTTGTGTCAATATCATGTTTTATTCATGCCTAAGACCTGTGACCACACAAGAGGGGGTGACGGCAACAACATTTCAGTTCATACATTTCAAGTTCCCCCTCTGTTCTAGTTTCAACCCAAAGGGGACACGGGCTATTTTTTGCAAGTACCCCATAATAAGGCATTTAAGTAATATTCATTGTCTACTAATTACTGATTATTTAATTCATTCTTTAGGCCAATCAGGTTACATCTTTAAACTAGTAGTACTCTTAACTCCCCCAAAATACGTTAAAACTTCAGAAGGATAAAACAATAAAAAGTATTCATAATTTCAGTATAGCACGTAATGAATACATGTTTTATTACATTTAGCTTGGCCTCAAGGGCTATAAATGATCCAGCGGCCTCTGAGATTAGTCTCTTTTAATCTGCGACTGAGTGGCGTCTTTTTTATCTGTTCTCGAGGACACATCAGAAAGTTGTCAAAGCTTTATCTGAATAGATGAGCATAGATTGAGCTGAAATATGCCCCGTTACAGAATAAACTTCAAAACTGGGTCACATTATTTCTTGTCAGCAAGTGTGATTAGCTTTGTTTTTGTCAATATAACACTGCTCAAAAGTGTTTCTGTGTAAAACATTTGAGCCTCGCAACATGTTTGATTTATTAGTGGGTTATAATTATATATCAACGACTGATGTTATTCATTTAAAACAACCAGCGGCAACAGACGTTTAGCTGAGTTGCAGGTTTAGGGTCATGATATATCAACAAGCAAACACTGCATATTTAATGACGTTATATGGCAGGGCCACACTTCCATCTATGCTGACCACCAGGGATCGAGCACACAGACGCATAAATATACTCTCTAGGTTTTTTGCTGTATCCACATATGCTTGTTCAGAGAGAAAACTGGGCAAACAGGGACACAGAAGTCTGTAATGCAATCAAACATAACAAATTGTGCTGATTTTTGTTGATTAATCAAGAATTTAGATCAGTGATTCGCAAACATGGATACAAGTAACAGAGACAGACAGAGAAAAAAAAAGGGCAAGTAATGTAAATAGGAAACATAAGTACACCTTTACTGCTTCCATAGCAATTAAAAAGTTAAGCAGCAACCAGCTGCTGCTAAACAAATGCATTTGAATAATTCAGTATCAGCAAGTGTGAGCACCTCTATAAAAGCAGAGGTTTTGGCAGTTTGCTGGTCAAGAGCACTCAGGTGTGTGATAACCCAATGCCACAATCTTTCCAGGTATGGTGAACCAAGCAAAATCACACCAAGGTCAGACCTGAGTAATGCTCAGAGAAGCTGCAAATAAAATAAAATAAAATAAAATAAAATAAAGCCCTGAAGGCTATACTGCAGACTCTACAGGCCTCAGTCAGCAAGTTAAATGTTAAAGTTCATGACAGTAGAACAGTTGCTGGGAGAAAGTCTATTCTCTCTAAAACGAACGTGGCAGGACAGGTTAGGTTTACACAGTTGCATCTGAACAAAGCACAGCACGTCTAGAATAATGTCCTTTGGACAGATGTTTGCCCATAATGCACAGTGGCACAGCTACCTCATATCCACCGTTAAGCGCTGTGCTGGAGGACTGATTGTTTGGGCTTGTTTCGCAGCCACAGGATGTTGACACCTTGCAGTCATTGAGTCGATCACAAACTCCTCTATACACCAAAGTGTTCTACAGTCAAATGTGAAGCCATCTGCCTGACAGCCAAAGTTTTAACTGGGTCATGCAACAGGACAATGATCCCAAGCACAGCAGCAAATCTACAACAGAATGTCTGAAAAAGAAAAGAATCAAGGTGCAGCAACAGCCCAGTCAAAGTCCAGACTTCAGCCTGAATGAAATGACGTGACAGGCCTGTGCAGAGAGCTGTGCATAGACCTGTGAACGTCAATGAACTGAAGCAATGCTGTAAAGAAGAGTGGGACCAAAATTTCTCCACAATGATATGAGAGACTGAGAAAATCCAATTCAATTCAATTTTATTTATACGGCTCTAAATCACTAAAACAGTTGCCTCGAGACCCTTTATTTTGTGAGGTAAAGGCCATACAATATACAGTGTAGAGAGAAACCCCAACAATCAGACAGCAAGCGAGCGCTTGGCAACAGTAGGAAGGAAAAACTCTAGGAATCACAAGTAAGCCGTCTGTGAGCAGTCTGAGAGTGAAGTGCTCTATTATAATTTAACAAAATGCAAAAAATCAGAAATTCTAAGTATAAATGAACCATAAATAACCCACTGAGCAGTGATATGTAGTAAAGTAAATAATATATACTTAGAAACATTGATAGACTATTTTATACTTAATAGGCTGTGTCCCCTTCATTTTAAGGCTCAACTATGTATTATAGCTCCATGCAGGTTTCTTTGGTATAAACACTTAGCCATTTATACACATGCACTATTGCCCTAAGCTTAATATTGCCCCAGGGAGTTGAATGCCAGAAGACAAATGCATGATGCTTTGCACACTGAACCGTCTTAATTTTGTTGGCTTCCCAATCATCCTGCTTTCTGCTTCCTGCAAGCTCTAGTCAGACCCCCTGTCTAAAACCACACAGAGTATCAACATGCGACAAAGAAAAAGTCTGACAGTATCGCAACCTAAACCTGAGGTGTCAAAGATAAGGCCCGGGGGCCAGACACGTCCTGATGAAGACTCCAGCTCGACCCCATTGGACATCATTGGAAGGTGTAAAGTTTTACAGCTTTATCTTTACTGACAAAGACCTCCCACATGCTACACCAAAGTAACTGGGTAATACATAAAAAAAAAATAAAACCAAGGAAAAGTTCATTTTTTTCTCCCTTTATAATTTCTATTATTTACAACGGATACACAGAATACACTGTGTATCCATCCACTGTACACATAGATTCACATTTTTGTAATTTGACACGTTTATTTTTTACAATCCTGGTGACAAATTTCTTACATTTACCGCAGCATTATTTCTCTACCATATTCACATTTTTGTAATTTGACACGTTTATTTTTTACAATCCTGGTGACAAATTTCTTACATTTACCGCAGCATTATTTCTCTACCATATTGAAAAAAACTGAGACATACATTCGAAATTGCACCCCTTTTTCTTATATTAAGATATCTCAAGGATTAAATGTATAATTAAACTTCTTTACACTGACAGAAAGGGGAGTTTCACTGGTCCGGCCCACTTAAGATTAAAGTGGGTTGTATGTGGCCTATGATGTAAAATGAGTTTAACATCCCTGGGCTTGGTTTATGCTTCCAAAGGAGACTCCGGTCCCTACAAGTTTGACTTGTACTTAACAGATTCTCCTTATGTCCCCACTATATGAGTAATACTAGCACACACACACATCCGTGTGCTGGTATTGAATTCTGGGAATATTGAGCAATTCAGCAAAGCAGATGACAGACTGAAAGGCTTTTGCTGCATGCAAGCCAGCGGGAGGTAAGAAAAGAAGCAGTACTGAGCTCTGACCCCTGCGAATACTATATAAGGTAATGTGAAATGTACAGTTTCTATTTCTTTAAAAGGTCATTTGGGGGCATTGTGCTGTTATTAGATGGACAGGAAATATGGGGAAAGAGAACAGGGGAGTGACATGGTAAGAATCCAGCTGGCTGTAAATCAAATTGGGGACTCATTCCTCAAAGCACTTCCGCCCATGTGGTATGAGCTATAGCCAATTGGCTGTCAGGGCTACCCCCTCTGCCTGTTTCTATTTCAAGCACTCTGTAATAAAGCACTGAGAATTTTATTGATTTGCTTGAAATTGCAGGGGTCAGTTCCCATCACGAGAACAAGGCATGCAAGCGACAGTCCAGTCATTTAATACGGGCTTATTTAGAGCAAACAGTGGTGTGAATTTTCAGGGAAGTGCTAATTAGCCATTAATCTAATAACCAAGAGTTTCATTTAAAGACCTAGAACAGCAGCTGCATTTTTGCTATTTTTCCTGGCGTGTTTTGTCTGTCGAACATTAACGATTCTATCACTCCTAGTCCAAGCACCGTTAGCCTTCAGCATGTTCCCGCCTGTTCCAATCACCTCAGCCCTGCACTTACCTTCACACCTGCTTCTCACCCCCAGAGGGACTGTACACCAAGCCCCTACTGTTACTGCCCCTATGCCTGCAGCTTCTCTCTCTCATTCGGCACAAAAATGCAACTGAAAATAATAAGAAATAAAATGACAACAACAGCGGAAGCGTCTCTAATTGCGAAGCGTTAAACACAGATTTAACGAGACACACGTTAACAGTTGAGCAAAATAAATACACTGCAGTGAGGATCTCGTGCTTTCTTCAATGCTTCACTTATTCAGTGTTGTCCATGCTGAGTCGACACACTTATGGAGGGTTTATTCTACAGTATTAGAAGCCTAGCAGCTCTCTGGGCTTTAGTTGGGACCCCGCACAGTTTCCAAACACCATATTTTTGATTTTATTAAAAAAAAGGACT